TTGGACTTGAACGTCCTTCGATTTCGGCGGGATGGCGCGCCAAGCCAATCGTGAGATATAACCAGAAACTGCCACTAGCCTCTTGGGAAACTGCGTGAACTGGATGCGCAACTGCAAAGCCAACACGGGCTGCCACATGAATGATATCGTGTTTCGTAAATAATGGGAATTTTTGTATTTTCGAATATACGAAGAATATAAAAGTGTTTTTGTTAATTTTGTATATAAAACCACTTATATGTACCACCCTGTACATAGTTCTTAAGTGGTTTCAGTTATTAAGTTTTTAACTTGTTCGCTTTTTCGACACGTGCCTACACTTCTCAAATGGCATATAAAAGCAAGTTAAAGACATAAGTTGCTGACTTTTCTCAACCAAATTAATCTAAAGCTGTGCTCTAATTTTCTGTGAATATAAAATACCCAAAGACTTTTTGGCTAACTGCTAATACAAACAATTCTACACCACTCCAGTTTTAGTGAATCTAATTTTTTGCATCATTCTTTTTTCACTTATCAAACCATGGCGACGGCAACATACGAATGGCACAAAATTGTAGAGTGGCAAATAAAAAGAGCATTGCACTTATGTAAGCCCATACAATTCTTCATTTCCGATACATAAGTATGTACATATGTATGTATTTCTTTTCAATAAGATTTCTTTGTATAAAATGCTTTTATTTATTTATGTATTTCTATTGAAAGTGACTGTCATTATCTTTATCCCGAAAATGCTCTCTTTTACCTGACTGAGTTAACATACAACTTATGTAACTGGCAATTAAGTGATTCTTGACTCTCTAAGCTTTTGATTCTTTTGTACTATAATACTGTCATTAATAACGGTACACCTGAGCATTAGTAAATACTCTCGTAGAATTTGTTACTCAACCATTTGTAGATAGTTTTGTGCGAGCATATGCGATTCTCTGCTATTATACATACAATTGACATTTCAGGTCACGTAACATTGAGAAGTACAGTCTCAGCTACTACTTTTTGCTTTGCTATCTACAAATAAGTGCGTTAGTGTTTCACTTTATAATACTTTCCCAGATGAAACCCAAAATTTGTATAAACTTTCTCAATGCAAAAATTTACTTAACAATTTTCGATGCCTTTAGTAAGAGCCCTTTACCCTTTCAATGATTACACGCTTGCTTTGACTGCTTACAAAAGTATAGGTATTTTTCAAAGGTGCGTTCTACCATGAAATTGCCTTTGAGCAGAATTTTAAATATTGAAGTATGTACATATGTACTTATAAAAAAGTTTACGATTTATAATGCAAAATTTTAAACTTAATTAAGTCGATATATGCTGGGAAGAAAACGAAATATTAATTACAGTAATTGCATAATTGCGAGTGGAGCTCTTAGATATTTCAAATACGCAACCTTTTTGTATTTCGAACTTAAAAGGCATCTGCAAAAGTCGCCTAGTACATGTCTGTGTTAAAGTGATTCTAGTACTTTCATATCCATATCCTTTTTTATTGTTTCTGAAAAGCTACATATGTCTCGATTTTTTTTTTCTTATTTTCTCAATGGGTTTTAAGAGTTAAGTAATCTATTATTTATGTACAAAATATGCATGCGTCCGAATAAAAATTTCTGTATACATACATAAATACGTTACATATGCATGTACATACATATATGTTGGCATTCGAATATTGTTCTTATTAGCACATGAATAATTAAACAACAAGGCAATTTGTTGTTTCATAGCAAGCAAGGCCAGCTGTCTAATTTCTAACTAACTTAAAAAAATAAATGCATATGTCCACTGTCCTCCAGAGAAAACATTTGTATGTACAGAAGTACATAATCAAGAGCATATGTACATAATTAATCGATAATAAGCTTGTAAGGGAATTCATGTCAGAAATATGTTCAGCTGTTGCGCCTACTCGCTGTTGCGTGACAATTCCCGCATGTAACTTCGTACAAATTTTCATATATTTAGGAATTTACATATGTATGTATGTAAATAAGTTTGTATATATATTTAACAAAGGTACGTATTTGCAGCTTTTTGTTGTTGTCACAATTCTGAATAAAAGTTAAGTCATTCAGATGAGAATTAGAAATGTATAAAGAAGTGATGTGACTGTAGAGATATTCACAGATGAGCAACAACCTAAGCAAAGATGAATGGCAATTGGATAAGACGACATACATATGTTTGTACATATTGCACATCCACTTCAGAGGTAACACAACTTAGGCCTGGTATTCGGTAAAGCAGGGATCACACGATTTGCGCATTTCTACAGATTTGGCCATTTTCGGCGTTACAGAGTGGTGTTGTTTGGAAAGTTATTATTGAGCTGAACTCATTCTCGATACGCATTTCTAGGCAACACCACTCTATGACCGCCAAATGTACAAATCGTGTGATTCCTGCTTAAGTCAATCTCATCTCACATCACTAACTTTGAGACTACCAATTAGTGACTCTTTTTTTTTTACTTGAGATGATTTGGGTATTCAGTAAGAGAGTCATTAAAAGTTCACCAAAAATGTGTGGTGAAAACAAACACAGAGTAAACTGATAGCAATAGCCCAGTTGACAAAGCACTAGAGTGTCACTCGAGACATCCGATTTCGAGTCCTCCTTGGATAGGGGATTTTTTTTTTGTTTATTGATTTTTTTTCTATTTTTTTAATTTTATTTTTTTACAAAATCTTTAGGTTTTAATGTTTTACACTAACATATTGTGTAACCGCCAATCTATTATTTTTATTATTATAAACTAGTGCAATGTGTTTTTCTTTTAAATTACTGAAACTACGTAGATGGCGTTAAAATATACAATTATTTTAAAGACCTACCCCTGAGCAATATTGTTTATCTTTTTGTTATATCCATAATTTTTTTATATGTTTATTTACGCCTCTCACTTAATATCGCATTTGAGTTAATCGAGTGACACGATTTTGTCATTTGCAAGCAGAACACCTATTAGGTTTGTTCCGCAAGCTACTTGTAGAAAAACTCGAGCAAAGCTCAAACTGTCAGCGTATATCAAATACATAAACTCTAAAACTTACTTGTGGAACACGTATGTGTAACTTGAAGTGGCGTCGAGTGGAACAAACCTATTATTTTTACTGCCACAGTGGGACAATCCTTCAGTTTGATGACAAATGTCCATAGTTTTATTGGCAAATTCTCTTCGACTGTGTCACGTCGTATCCTCTTGAGATCAGCGCACCAATGAAAAGCATTTAGAGCACGTTAATATATCCATACAAACATATGTAGGTACATATGCATATAGCTAATTATAATTTGTTCGTCAAACTATAGAGTGCGCCAATGCCTTCGCTAAGACAAAAGATTTAATTATTGCTGCTTATTATTTAAAAATATCAAAGGAAGGAATTTCAACGAAAATTTACGCAGTGGTCACGTTGATCTTTTAATTTATAAGTCCGTGATCGACCTATTCTTTTAAAAAACTCTATGTCAATGATTATTTCCCAATTTCATTTACACATGTTGCGTGAAACAAATAAGTAGTAGTATCTACATTTTACGAAGTACTTTTGAAAAACGTGTAGTTTTTCAAAACTATCGAGTATTTTCACTATAGAAAAGTTTCCAAATTTAAGACACAAAAATGGTGAATGTACATTTTATAAAGCAGCAATACTTGTATATGGAAGTGTAAATGGCAAGTATGTTGGCCGTCATTAGGCTTAGTAGCTTTAATATTGAGCGAAAAAAGGCCGCAACTAACACCTAAAAATGTTGACATGTTAAATAAAAGCAATTGGCTTTAGAAAGCAGAATACGTAAATCTGTTTAGTTATTTTATATTATACTTCCTTTATTTATTAATGTAGGTCCTTATGGTCTTTACAAAACTATATTTAATGCAATGGAGCATATTCATAGTCAAGATTAAGCTGGTAGGTACTTAAAGTTAATTGTAGCTTTTTGACATAATTTTGGATGGGTTAGGTTCCAAACAGCTTTAAGTACCAACTTTAAGTACCAACTTAGTTTTGGACTATGAATACGCCGCAATTAATTTTTTTGTTTTTTTCAAAATAGACGACTATCGATAGACTATCGATAGTTTAAAAAATATCGCCTGTATTCCAAGTGAAAATCAAAGTTGTGATTTAAAAATTGTGCGTTAGTAAATTTTGAATTATGTGCTATTCGAATGTATCTCAACATATGTATCTATAGATAACTGAAGCATGTTGATGCCACAAAAATACCAGCAACATATAGACTGCGAATTTATTTGTATATAAGAACCCAGTACAGAAAGAAACTAGTTTAAATATCGATGTTCAACCAGTTTTTTACCCACCACAACTAATTACAGATCTGACTTTCTTCCTCGAAGCGAACTGTTGACTTTAACATGGCGATGTCGTAGGCGTCAGTCAATTATCCGATTCTGCATTTGATTTCAACTACTTTAAAATGCATTTGGCTTAAAGCACTTCAAAGTCAGTATGTTTCGTTTGAATACGCTTTCGGTCTGTACTTTACAGATGCTTTTTCATATTTCCAAGGCACAAAAACAAGGGTTTATTGTCATTTTCACATGTTGTCTCTGTTGGGATTCGAACCCGGAGATTCCGGAAGCTAATAAGTAACAGGAGGCATCTCTGTCATGTCTCTGTTTAAAGTCAGTTGCTACATAAGCAGAGATAAATTACTTTTTCTGAGGAAATTTGTTGAGCTATGCCATACTGGGTTAAGGTACTCAAGCGCTTGGGTAAAACTTTTTCCCAAATGCACTTGCTGTTGCCGATGTTGTGTTTTGTTCGATGGCAAACATGTTGTGCTGGCATGCCACGAGCAAACCTTAGTCGGTAAATGCCGTTGACCAACGGCAGTGCGCCAAAGGGGGCGGTACGCCAGCACGTACAACCTGTGAATTTCGAGTTTTCGATGCGAACCAACATAACAAACGCACCCACACACACACACACACACACATACACACACATATAGGCCCGTGGTTGACCTGGAGCATATCGCTGGCGACAGCAGTGCGGCGAACACGAATCGCTCAGTTCAGATTTTCAGTTGTGTTTTGTGCGGCGTGTGCGATGGTTTTGTGTTGGCGCTTTGGCGGCGTTTTGGCGTTGACGAGAAAACTATGTAGAATGAAACGTGAAATGATTCTAGTAAACATAAAACATAAAAATAAATGAAATTGTATAATATCTGCATAAGTGTAAACAGTGTCTTAGTGCAGAAGTGTGAAGAGTATAAAAAAAAAACTATTAAAGATGTTGGCATTTTTAGAATTTAAAACGTGTTTTGCCAGCGATTTCTGACTTCAAAAAGTATGAAGCTCAAATCTTGCCGGCCGCAGACGCTTACATACCTATGTACACAAATATTTAATTTTAGAGTTCTAAAGTAAACATTACTATGTGTGTGTTATTGAAATTAAGGCAATCAAAAAAAAAATATTGAAAGCATAAATTAGAGATGCCTAAGTGAAAAGTTACTCGTACATACATATTTACTTGGATGCACTAATATGCATATTTAAATTTAAAAAAAAAAAAAAAAATATTGTAGTTACTTGTGAAATTTGTTAAACATTCAAATATGTACCTACATAACTCCACAGATACCTGCAAAAGTTTTAATGCATAACTAATTTTTATGTGTATTAAAAACCAGAAAGAAACAAAACAAAAACGTATAAAGTCCAACACAAAAGTGACAAAAAAAGAAATCAACTTTAACCGGAGATTCGCGAGCATCAAGCGACAAGTACGTATTTTAAGTAAGTAGACGAGCGGCTAAGTGAGTGACTTGTGATGCGTTTGTGGTGTGTGTAAGTGGCTCAATCAGTGGAAAAGGTTTTTCGTGTATTTT